TTTGCAAACATTAAACTCTAAACCTTAAAGGGGCAATGTCACCAATTTTTGAGCAATACCAACCCTCGCAAATTTTGCCCAAAACTGAAAAAGAATGAGTGTAAGCACAAAATAAAGCAATAACAGACACAACAAACATGTACAGAAGTCTGGATGGGCAAGATTACGTCAGGGTTGAGACGGATTGTAAATGGCATCTTGATTAATTGTTGGCAGACACTTTTTCAAGTTTTAGTCAATTTTTGATGAAAATGTTGCGTGGTTAATATGACTCATATATCATAACTTAATCTATTTACAATGTTTATTTTTAACTTTGTAGTTGAGTTTTTGAATAAAAGGCATTTTAGGTGACAAAATCGGTGACATTGCGCCTTTAAACTCTAAGCGCGCAAAGCATATAATGGGAGTAAAACATTTCCTTACGAGAACAATTCGTTCACAAATAGCTGCAATATTCAACTACTAAGCTTGAAACTTGTGCTTCCATTAAGTTATGCGCACTTAGTTTAACGTTTTAAGGTTGCAAAGGACAACCTCTTTTACAGCCAAACCGGATGTTCCTTTCCCTTCAATATTGCAACATTGCTGCGCAATGTTGCAATATTCCTTCGGTAATTGGCTGGAGCAATTACCAATCAACGCGGGCAATTTGCAACTGACTTGGCACGCAAAATTTGAGTGTACAACTACAGGGGTTTATTTTAAATTTATATACAGTACCGGTATTTATATCAATTATATTTATATGCTATGTCGCATGTCCAGAAAACCAAAATTGCTTCGTTACACGTTCGTAAGCGAATGTTAAATCTTTGGCTGGTTGGAGAAAGTTTTTCAGCTGTTGCTTCTCGCACTGGTGTCACATCGAAGACTATCTCACATATTGTAAGACAGTTCACAGAGCGCGGTTGTTTGTTCCCATTGAAGCCTGGCAGAAAAGAAAGGCAAATTGCTACTCCCATTGTTGTAGAATACATCGAATTCCAAAAACGTTCTAAACCCAGCATTACCGCTTTCGAAATACAAGTAGCACTAATGAACGATGGTGTATGCAACTTGGAAAATTTGCCGTCGAAATCGACTATCAGCGATGTGCTCAGGAAAGACTTAAATTTTACTTTTAAAAAGTTAAAAGTTGTGCCACAAGAGTCCTTAAACGAACAGAATCAAGTGAAATCAATAGAGTACGCGATGTTGATGAGTCAAGTTGATCCATCGAGGGTACACTTCTTTGATGAATCATTGGTTAAAAGAACGACAGACAATCGCCATTATGGGCATGCTAAAAGGGGGAAGCGAGCTGTAGAAATTAAACTTTACGTGTCCGATTGTAACTACACTATAAATTTATTGCAAAGCAGATTTGGCATAACCCACTACAACTTGTTAGAAGGAGCATCAAATGGTTTGGAAATGTTACATTTTTTCCACGAAAGCATGCAAGTTGTAGATGAGTTTTACGGAAATCCTGTGTTAGCACATGGGGACATTGTCGTAATGGATAACTGTCGGTTTCATCACGGACATTTTGCGGAGGAAGAATTGTGAAGAATGCTTGGCCAAAGTGATATAACTCTGATATTCCAACCTCCATATTCTCCCGAATTTAACCCTTGCGAGTTTAGTTTTAGTGTTATTAAGGGACCGGTCATTATTTATGGCGGTGGGTGGCACCGAAGAGAAATGTTTTTCATAGCAAAAATTTTGCTCACCCAACCGTTAAAAAGTAAAAAAATTGATTACCCAACCTCAAGTATCAATTAAAAAATAAATACCCACTCCTGGCCAAAAAATTTACAAAAGGGTACCATTCAGTTGTCATATATGTCCTTTACCACTTCTGTGACATAAGATTGATAACGGATTGTGAAATTTTCAGCAGTCTGAAGTTTCATGTTGTCTGCACATGTAGCTACTTTCTTTGGAGATCCCATCAGAAATTGATCAAGATAATGACTCTGATTGATATATACTTTTCGTGGTTTCTTTACACATTTAGTAAATTTTAGTATAACACCAAGTTCATCAATTGCTGCTATTTTGCTAGCAAATCCATGTATAATAAACCCGGGTGTTTTGCAATCAAAAGTGATGCAACCTGGATAGTGGAATAAGTTTGCTACTGTAGGCACAATTTTTGGCCACTTAATAGTCAAAGGTCATGCATAAATAAGAACAGTATTTAATATTACCGCCTTACGGAGACTTTATATTAATTGTGCTAGTCTAGGATCTAGAAGACCCATAGGTCCCATACTCGACTAGCAACATAATCAAGTCAGTAATGTTAATTCATTATATATAGGATCAATGTTAAAGGCAAGGTGGGCTATAAGCTATAATCATTTCTATGGTTATAGAAGGCTAATAATTATTGCTGCGAATACTGTAAATTGAATAATGAATGTAGCACAATATTAAATAGTTGCATGATGATGTCAAAGAAACTAGTCAGACTACATTTGCAAGTTTTGCAACTCTCATCACTTAAATTCCCCATACCTGAATACAAAATACAGTAAACAGTAAACAATGATTACCTTTTACATACCATATATAAAACGGAGTTTTCATCCTTTCTAGAAACTCACTTCCTGAACTTTTGAGCGCAAATGTAATGTATTAAAAATGTATATCATATTCACAGCAGTTAATACCATTAATATATCGCGGGCGCAATACAAGACAAAACACGAGAATTTTAAAATGTTTTGATTTGCAAATAAATAAATAATATTTGATGTCATAAAATTTTTTTAATTTAACTCAACACAAACTGGTAAGTTCATGACATGTATAATTTACTTATATGTTGTTATATTGCAATTCTGTACCCTACTCCTTTGAAAATTGTTTGAAATTGCATATGATGTGAACATGTGGTCATTTATTATAGTTGTGTCATGAATTTAATAATACGCCAATGGCTTCGAAATAGACAATGGATGAAAAAAGTCATGAATATTGAGCTTATTTATCCTTTAAACACTTGATCGTCATGCGCATACAGTGTACATTGTTTGTAACCC